AAGGTGCTGGAAGGTCTCCCCGGAGCCTTCTCTTCTCCAGGCTGCACACCCCCAACTCTCTCAGCCTGTCCTCGCACGGGAGCTGCTCCAGCCCTCTGACCCTCTGATGTTAACAGCTCTGTCTCAACACGCCCCAAAAGTCCAGACCCCTTATCACCTGCATGAAAAAAACGCTGTAAAATCTCACAGGTCTGTACGCAGCGCGGGGCGAGCCTCAGTCAAAGCATCTCAATGCAGGTGAGATGATAAATTTAACCCCTGAGCTCAGAGAAGGTCTCTGCCTTTAGTCAGCAAAGTTTCCTGCTACTTCAGAGTGGGTTTAACGCGTGAACTTTCCCTCTGGCTAGCTCGCCACAGCTGGCACAGAGCTACTGTGTTTTATTAGACAGGCCAGTTGGTGTTACAGCTTTAAATCATGCTTCAAGCTCAGACGTTAGAACAAAAGCTGTCAGGCTTGTACAGCAACGTTTCTGTGGTTATTAATTTATTGTTATTATATTCTCATCTTTCTTTTAGGACTCCCCTCATGATGGCTTGCACCAGGCAAAACCTGGAGGTGATCAAAGCTCTCGTGGAGCATGGAGCCAACCCGCTGCTGAAAAACAAGGATGGCTGGAATTGCTTCCACATCGCCAGCCGGGAGGGCCACCCCCACGTCCTCCAGTACCTGCTGGAGGTGTCCCCAGGCAGCTGGGACACGGAGAGTAAGATAAAGAGAACGCCTCTGCACACAGCAGGTAAAAGATGGTCTCGTTGCCATCAGGTGGGTTGGAAAGGAAGAACGGGCTGTGGCATCAGCAGGGAACAGAAAGGGGCTGTTGTTTCAGTTCACATTTAGTTTGGAGAAGCAGAGTGTGACCTGTCTTGGTACAAAAAACCCAAGGGAAACAATTAAAAATATTAAGTTACTGAAATAAAATGGAAAGAGGCGAGTGGTGGGCATTAGTGGGAGCTCACCTCTCTGAACTTCAGTCTGCTAACCGGGCTCTGCTGCGTCTTTGCAGGGTTTCACCTCGAGACAGACACTCATTTTAGTTGCTTTCAGATAAATAAACAGCAAGAATTAGGCTTAATATTTATTCATGATGTGCCAATGACTCAGCTTGTGAAGTTGGAAGATCCTAAGTTCCCGTTGCACTGGATTTTGCCCATGCTTAAAGCATGTTTTTGGGGTGAATATCAGTTATGTTCCCCTGGGAGTGGTGGATCTGCACCAGGAGCACTCACAATCACCCACTGCCTCTGGCCTCCTTGGACCAGGGTGTTCATTCTCATCTCTGCTCGCCTCTCTGCCTCCCTGTGACAGATATGTCTGAGCTCCCACGGCTCAGGACAAATTGCAAAACGCTTTTCCTTGCTGATTTATAAAGCTGCGAATTGCACTTGGAAAACCTGCAAGGCTCCAAGCACATCCTGGCGTTTTAAAAGTCTTGAAAGCAGCAGAGCTGCCGAGAGGTGCCTTTGGGATCTCCCTGTTGGTGGATGGTTTTACCAGTTTGGTTTATAGTCTCGTCATTTTTTGGAAGAGATGTTACCTCTTGAAATTATCTGTTTTTGTCCAAATTCCTGGTGGGTTTGGTCATTATGGTGAATGTGAAGAGCTGTAGGGTCTCTAGGCACAACCTCCAGAAGAAGCATCGCAGGTTTTGGTATTTTCACGTTGATCTTAAGGAGGTGACATCTAGTGGGGAGAAATCCAGAGTGCCTTCCTGCAAAGGGGAAGGATAGTCTCTGCTGGGAATACACAGGGGCTGTTGTTAGGGTTGGAGCCCACCGTGTCTGATTCGCCTTCTCTAGGGAGAAAGAAGAGGAAACCTTCATTTGTTTAAAAGAACATATAAAGGGAGTGAACTGGTTTGAAGAACCACAGACATTGTCACATGTTGTAGAGAGCAGAAGGGCACAGTTAGCTGAACAGTGACCAGGGTGGTTTGGATTTGGTTTCTGACTTTCTGACACTCTCAACTTTGAGGTAGAGTCAGAGAATCCTAGAATGGTTTGGGTTGGAAGGGACCTTAAAGCCCACCCAGTGCCACCCCCTGCCATGGGCAGGGACACCTCCCACTAGCCCAGGTTGCCCAAAGCCTCATCCAGCCTGGCCTTGAACCCCTCCAGGGATGGGGCATCCACAGCTTCTCTGGGCACCCTGGGCCACTGCCTCACCCCCCGCACAGGAAAACATTTCTTCCCAAGATCTCATCTCCATCTCCCCTCTTCCAGCTCAAACCCATTCCCCTCGTCCTGTCCCTGCACCCCCTGACCCAGAGCCCCCCCAGCTCTCCTGTAGCCCCCTTTCAGCACTGGAAGGTGCTGGAAGGTCTTCCCGGATCCTTCTCTTCTCCAGGCTGCACACCCCCAACTCTCTCAGCCTGTCCTGGCATGGGAGCTGCTCCAGCCCTCTGACCATCTTCACAGCCTCCTCTGGACTGAAGTGATCTGGAATGATCCATCTTAATTTGTGAATGATGCACAAGGTGTGCCTCAGTTTAAGTTTTCTGAGTCTTAATAAGCTGAGTGACTCAAAAATCTGTGGATGCAGAATTAAATTTGTCCTGCTGTGTCTCATTGCCCCTTACAGAGTATCGGGTCTGGTTACCCCCAAACCTGTGCAAGCTAGGCAGTACATCTCATTTCCCAGATAATTTAATAGGGATTGACTCTCTGGAAAGACCTGAGGTATTGTGAGGAGACCCCTGCTGTGCTGTAATTAATCTGTTGGGTACGTTGCTCCTTGCTTGTCGTTTCCGTTATTTTTCTGTCCCTCAGTAAGTCACTTGTCCCCTGCACTGCGCTCCTCAGCTGTGACAGTCCAAGCCTAGGGGCATTGACTGCCTTAGTCCTTGTGCTTGACCTGGGAACGAGAAATAGCTGATGAATTGTTTGATGTTTCAGGCTGGGCGGCGAGGAGCAGGTTGCCTGAATGAGAAATGACTAATCCTCATTTATTTACACCTTCTCCTCTCCCTGCTCAATCCCAGGTTTTGTGTTTCCGTGGCTGGGCTGGCAGCTTGCGCTCGCAGCCCCCTCTCAGCCCTCTCCCTGCAGAGTGGCAGATGTTGGGTTGGGATTTGGGGGCTGAGGTTCTGGGGGCAGGGTCAGGAGGAGGTTGAGAACTGTCCCAGAGAAAAGAGGTGCTTTTGACCTTGAGCTTAGTGTCTTCTCCCTGCCTCGTAGCGCTTGGGATATGGGGGTAGAAACAGCGACGGCGGGATCCAGTGTCCGGTTCTCACTGCTTCATAGAGATGTTACCACCTCTTTGTTGCCTCCTGTGTTTGACTTTCACTGCAGCAAAGCCACCAACCCATAATTTGGGTTGATTTCTGGTCATTACTGAGCCAGGTTAGACCCTGGGCCACGCACTGCTGGAGCAACAGCCAGTGCTGGGGTGACTGGGCAGCAGGAAGGGCTGGAGCTTCTTAAACCACCTTTACCCCCAGCAGAATTTTAAACCCAAGATGATACTGGAGGCTGCTGGTGGGTGGGTGCTGGAGCCAGCATCCCCCCAGCTCCTGATGCAGGGGCATGGGCGAGGGACAGGGAGGATGCTGGAGCTGCTGTGGCAAATCCTGTCAAGACAAACCGGCCATCTCAATGAATTTACATCCCCAGGGTGTGGATATGAGCACATTAACCCATGACCAGTCCAGCTGGCTTCCTGGCACACTTATCCCTGGGTAGATGATGGGTAATTTTCTTCCCCGTGCAATTTTTTTTTTTTTGGAGTTGATTCCTCCAGCTTTGCTGCTTCATATATCCGTAGCCTGAGGCAAGAGAGCAGGGGAGATGTAATTAGAGGAAGTGGAGTGCAACAGTGGATCTGAGCGCTGCAGCTTTCTTGTGTCTCTGCTGCTCTTAAGGGATGTAATCGTGTTGCTTGGGGGTTTTTTTGCTTCATGTAGCTTGGGTTTTTTAAAGCCTCCCGTTTCAAAAATCCTTTTCAGAGTGTGGCTCTGCCTGTATTTATATCAGTTCAGGTGAAAGGGTGATAATTGGGCAGGGAGCAGGAGCAAACGGCCAGGATCAGGGAGGATGGGAACTTCTCCTTGGGCTTTCAAAGAGCATCTATTGTGCAGCTGCGTCTGAAGGGTATTGCTGCTAACGCACGTTTGCCAGGGGCCTTCCTTCCATAATGTAGCCGCTCTGGGCTTGGTTTGATTTTTTCTTTTTCTTGAATGTATTTAATATTTTTTGCAAAATGACCTGCAGAAAAAAAAAAAAAAAAGCCAGACCAAGGCTGACATGTTTTTAAAAAATAAGAGAGAATATTTCAGCGCATGATGTTCAAATCCTCCCCCACTGGGGTTGTTTTTCCTCTGAGCTGCTGTCTGGGTGAGGATGCTTCATTAGGATGATGAGATGGGAGCGATGGGTAGTTTGAGTGGCTGAGGAGGGGTGGAAATGCCATCCAGCTATTCACCAGCTCCCTGCTTTGTGTTCATTTTGCTTCAGGGATTAACAAATAACTTGCAAGAGAAGATCTTTGTGTCAGCTTCTTTGCGTGTACGCTCTCACGCATGTATTCTGCAGGTAGGGACAAACGGTGCCTATATGTGTGCCTCTTCCCTGCTTTATCTCGTGATTTCCTATAGGATCAGGGGAAGGCAAGGCCTGAGATTTTGGAGACAATGTTTTAACTACAAATAAAAATATCAAAAGCTTTGAATTTAAAGCCTCTTGGAACCCCTTCCTGCATCATGAGTAAGCCCAAAAGGGTCAGAAACCTGATTATATTTCACTGTGGGCGGATGATGGCATGAAAACATCAATTAACCCTGTGCTTTCTGTCTCTCACAGCAATGCACGGCTGTTTTGACGCTGTGGAGCTGCTCTTGGAGCGGTAAGCAGCCTTCCTCCCGGCGCTGCCTCTGCCTCCCCGCTCTCCCCCGCTGCCTGTCCACTGCCAGGCTCTCGCTCCAGCCGTCTGGACACAAAGGGCGTTTATGCCGTTTGGGAAGCCCAGCTGTCCTGCATGCAATCCTGAGGCTGTCTCTGCTTCCTCCGGGTTTTTCACGGCCGGTTAGGGGCTTTGAGACAAGGATGCTCTCTGGATGGGCTCTGATGGGCTCTGACTTTGCTATGACATAAGCCCCGGTTATATAACTCTGCTCTTTTTCTGTGCTGATTCATTCCCCTTGCCTCTGACGTGTCCGAGGCTGTGCGACAACAACAAAACAGTTTTCTGGCAGCTTGGTTCTGGGTGTAGCTCCTCTAGGCTGGACTCAGTCTCCAGGGTTTATTTTCAGGCTGCAGGTCCCAGGAGTCTGCTGTGAAGTGGCTTTAAATCAGCCTGTGCCCAGTCATTGTGACCCTGTTACCTTCCTAACCAGCACTGCCCGCCGCCAGAGCCGGAGCAGCTTTCCCCAGGCGTCGCAGCTGCTGCTGGCCGCATCTCCCATTAGCCGACTTGTTCCAGCCTTGGTAATTCCTGTCCGTGCTTGGCCCAGCATAAACACAGCCCTGTGATTCGAACCAGGCTTTCAATTTTAATTCAGTCTTCTCTCATTTCAATGGAGCTTTAACCTGAGCAAGATCTGCGGGCTTTGATTTTGTGTGTGGTGTTATTACATGAAGATATGGTTTTCTCCTCTGCCACTGCACACCTTACCCCTTCTAGAGATTCTCTTCGGAGGGTGAGGGAAATAGAAGTGATCTGTAGAGCCCTGGTGCACCAGCTGAGTACCAGATTTCTGACCCAAAAACCCCAAGCAATAAAACACCAAGAAAAGTTTATGGATGGTCTACAGGCAGACTTTATATCTGCCTTTTCCAGTTCCATCCACTGATAATGTCCTGCCCCACCAATGCAAAGCAATTTTAGATTTTAGAGCTGCCAACAATTCTGTCCTGGCGTTTGTCTTCCCTCCCAGGTGCCACTACAAACCTGATAGCAGAGACAAGTGTGGAGTCACTCCCTTCATGGATGCTATCCAGAGCGGGCATGTTGACATCGCTCGGTTGCTCCTGGAAAAACACCAGGTAGGTGCCAAAAACCTGGCCTCCCTCCTCCAGGACCTGACCTACAACTGCCAGGACAAGCAATCCACACGGTCACCAGAACCAAATGGCAAAGAAACGAATTTCCAAATAGCAAAGAAGCAAGTTTCGAAATAGCAAAGAAGCAAGTTTCCAAATAGCAAAGAAGCAAGTTGCAAAAGAAGGCAAATTCCCCCTGGAGATGAGCAAGATTTTGCCGAGTAAGGCCACCAGGACTCGGCTCACGGGGAGGGTCTCACCCTGGGGCAGGGTTATGTCCCAATAGCTGGTGAAGAGGGACAGAGAGAGAAGGCAGTGGCAGGAGGGGACAGGACTTGCCCAGCACTGCAGGGACAGCTGTGTCAAAGCCAAGATCCGCACTCGGGTGTGCCGGGACTCAACGTGGAGGCTCTCGTGGCAGCGCTGAGGGTGGATAACACGACGGTGTCTGGCTGCAGCTCATCTCTGGCCTCCCTCTTTCCTGACAGCTGCTGCTCCTGTTGTCTCCCAGTAATCTCCCATTTCCTCCAATACACAAAGCGGGCCAGCGAATGTGGTACCACACTTTTCAAGATCACAGGCTTTGGACTTAACACTAAGCCTCACCTGGCAGAGATGGTTTGATGCCCAGGTTGTGTTTGAGTGTGTAGATGCTTGTTGACTTCATAGAATCATAGAATCATAGAAT